GCGTATGAGTGTGCGTGAGCGTGTGCGTGTGCGTGTGCGTGTGCGTGTGCGTGTGCGTGTGCGTGTGCGTGTGCGTGTGCGTATGCGAATGCGAGTGCGTGAGAGAGTGCAAGTGCGTGTGCGTGTGCGTGTGCGTGTGCGTGTGCGTGTGCGTGTGCGTGTGCGAGTGCGTGTGCGTGTGCGTGTGCGTGTGCGTGTGCGTGTGCGTGTGCGTGTGCGTGTGCGTGTGCGTGTGCGTGTGCGTGTGCGTGTGCGTGTGCGTGTGCGTGTGCGTGTGCGTGTGCGTGTGCGTGTGCGTGTGCGTGTGCGTGTGCGTGTGCGTGTGCGTGTGCGTATGTGTGTGCGTGTGCGTGTGCGTGTGCGTGTGCGTGTGCGTGTGCGTGTGCGTGTGCGTGTGCGTGTGCGTGTGCGTGTGCGTGTGCGTGTGCGTGTGCGTGTGCGTGTGCGTGTGCGTGTGCGTGTGCGTGTGCGTGTGCGTGTGCGTGTGCGTATGCGTGTGCGTATGCGTGTGCGTGTGCGTGTGCGTGTGCGTATGCGTGTGCGTGTGCGTGTGCGTGTGCGCGTGTGCGTGTGTGTGTTCAGAAGCCATACCGGCTTCGATTAACGGAGATGAGAGAAAACCTGAGATAGAGAAAAGCCAGAAGGACATGACAGAAGAAGTCGGTATCGTGATGCTTCGGGGATCATCACTTGTGCTATTTTGGCCATGGAAGAAGAAGCTCCTGCGAACCATGGACGCACAAATGACAAAGCTATGGGAGAGAAATTGCGTCTCGGACGTCGTCAGATGCCGGAGTAATGTGTGTGGGTCGAGAGACACAATGGGCCGAATCAAAATCCTATTTTTTCTTTATTATTATATATAAAATCCAAAATTACATAAAATAATACATAAACAAATTTTGAAAAACAAGAAAAATTAAACAAATATGAGATGCTTTACAAAGAAAAGTTTTCTCATTTTCATATTCGTATCTCTAATATATTAAAGTGGAAGCACTATTGGATACTTGGCAACTCTACGATTAAAGTTGATATTTAGCTAAATTATTAATTCTTTTAATTTTAATTCTTCTACTATCTCTATTGCCAAATACTAAAATATTTTCTATAACACATTTATCTGCAATAATTTTTTTTAAAAACGTGTTATTCATATATTTTTTTATTAACTGCATATTTCCATTTATAATTTTATCAACTATTAACTCTCCACTGAACTGTTTGAAAAATATTTATTTTCATATTATTTATATATTTTCTCATTAATTATTATTTATATATATTGAATGAAAATAATTTACAATAAACATTTAAAAAAGAATATAAGCATTATAATTACGTTATTCATTATTCAAAAGAGAATAAGCATTCATATATTAGTTAATGATTTAGCTAATTCGTTTATAAGCATCGACAATTCCAAGTTTTAAAATATTTCTAATATATTAAAGTGGAAGCACTATTAGACACTTGGCTGCTCTACCATTAAAGTTGGTATTTAGCTACATTATTAATTTTTTTAATTTTAATTCTCCTACTATCTCTTTTGCCAAACACTAAAATATTTCCTAAAACATATTTATCTACAATAAATTTTACAAAAACACGTTCTTCATATATTTTCTTATTGACTGCATATTTAAATTCATAATTTTATCAACCATTAACTCTCCATTTAGCTATTTGAAAAATATTTATTTTTGTATTATTTATATATTTTCTCATTAACTATTATTTATACATGTTGAATGGACATAATTTACAATAAACATTTGCAAAAGAGTATAAGCATTATAGTTATGTTATTCATTATTCAAAAGAGTATAAGCATTCATATATTAGTTAATCATTTAGCTAATTCGTTTATAAGTATCAAAAATTCCAAAATTTAAAACGTATTTAATTTAATATCATTTTTTTAAAAATGAGACGGTATTGATTACTCATTTTAAAAAATCTTAGTCAAATCTATTCTCACTCAAAATCTATAACAATAATTTAAACTTGAAACGGATAAAGTAAGTACATATATTTTCGCATATTCTACATTGAAAACATTGTTCCTATATTTTCTATACATATATATTTTCCTTGGGGAATATTTTTAAACAATAACTAAACATCCATATGAGTAACTCAAATTGCGGAAGATATATATTTATTCCTAAGCTATATATATGCGAGATCCTTGGATTACATTAACAAGAATAAATTTCTAAATTTGAAATATTTACCCTAGCGATGTCATTTTCTGAATACCGTATATATATAGATATACGTTTCTCCAATATTTCCTTATCCCTCACATTTCAATACATTTCTGAATCTCAAATTCTCATCTTGCTATTATGTCTTCTTTCACCGATCTCTACTCCGTGAAGCTCTTCAAAACTCAATGGAGAGTTTATGTGAAGATATTGAAGGTGTGGAAACAATACTTGAATGGTGTAGAGAGGTTGGAAATGATTGTTGTTGATGAGAAGGTTATCTATGCTACTTTAAAGCATTTCTACTAATCTATATATTTTACCACTGTCCTCATTTTACTTTTCAGTTTCCTACAAACCTACGTGGATCTTTAAAGCATTAATATTCTTTTTATATATACACAGAATCAAACCATGCATGTAACTTTGAAGAAGGATTTCATCAAGAAAAATGAAAATCTGTTAGAGGAAGGTGCCTCTAGAATTATCACAAATTTTCTGGTTGCTCATAATGATGGTAAGTTCAAGACCAATCCTCACGTTTACAAAATCTTTTTCGCATCAACAACATCTGTCAAACCGGCAGAAGAAATGGATCCAAGAATCCTAGGTTTCAAGTTCGTCAAATTTAGTGATATTCACGAAGGCAAAATGAATCTAGATTTCTTGATAGGCAAGTTTGTTTAATTACTAAATTATATATTGGATATATAGTTTGTGTGTGTTATTCCAGAGTACTAACATGTTTTTTTAAACCTCAGATGCTATTGGGAAAATTGTGAGCATTGGGGATGTGGAGATCTTGAATGTTGGAAAGAGACAGACAAAGAAGCTTTCTATGGAGATCCGTGATACAGAGTTAGCATTTACATTACTTATCTATCACGACTGCTCTAAATCCTTACTAATTGTGTTTACTATCATTTTTTCCTCATTTTATTTATCATTTTCAATGTAAAAATGTTCGACTTAATTGTGTTCTTTGGGGACACTTTGCTGAAAATCTTGAAAGTGTGGCTCAAAATGCAAATGATGTTGTGATCGTTGCTGTTTTACGGTTTGGAAAGTTAATACTTTATCAAGGTGCTTGGAGTGTTGGCAATTGCTACAACTGTTCGATGGTCATTACTGATCCAGTGTTTCCAGAGAGTTTGGCTTTTAAAGAGAGGTAAAACTACTTATTCCCATGTTTTTATTTATTACTTAAAGTTTCTATTCTGATAACTATGTAATATAATCTATACAGATTGCCAAAGGATAGTTTAACCCTGACCTATACCCATCCAAATCAGTTGACTATTGTCAATTCAGTATCAGTAATGGACGATTTCTTCTTGCATAGTCCTCAAAGGACTATTAGTGAGATTATTGCTGCTTCTGAGGTAATTATATATTATGTCAGTTCAATTTATATAACCTATTTTTTATTTTAATATCATTATGCACTTTCAAAGGTTGTCAAATGTGTTACCATGGCCACAATTATGTCTATAGACACTGCATTTGGTTGGTATTACATGTCATGCGGAGCCTGTGCTAAAAAGGTTCTCCCTCATGATATGGATTACTTAAAACTTAAAAGAACTGCATCCTGGGAAAACTTTTAAGAAACAATTGTAGCAGTGCAAAAAATGCAATGAGGATGTTGAGAATGTTTATCCATTGTAAGTCTGTTCTTGTTTTTGTGCTATACTAATGTTTTCACATCTAATTAATTTTAACTTATCCTATTTCAAATGATGATAGGTTCATGTTGACATTCAGTGTCATGGATAATACTGGTGAAACCAAATTTCTCTTATTTGATCAAGAGGCAAAGGAAGTTGTCAACCAAACTGGTGCTCAGTTAACTCAGTCTGTTAATGAGGTTCATATTTCTACTGCATGTTTCCATAACCGTTTCTGACTTAGTCTATTTAAATTTTATTAAAATACTCTTTGTTTAGATTTAGGATCCAGATGTTTTGCCCTTGGCTTTGAGCAATATTTGTGGTAAAATGTTTCTCTTCAAGATTGCAATTGCATGTTCAAATATTGTTTTCAATAGTGACACATACAAGGTCATCGATATATTTAGACAAAGTAATGTGGTTAAGGAGTTTTCTGAAATCTCTACTCCTCAGGTACAGTTATATCATTTTGTTATCACAAATTGTTTAAAAACTACTTCTTTATTTTTTAATACATTACTTTTACTTTTCGTAGAGCACTCCAAGTATCAAGATAGAGGAAAAAGCTCACAATACGCTTGATAAAAATGTCTAATTCTAAATTATATTTTCTTATATTCATGTGTAAAATTCTATAATAGTTTTGTTCTTACAGATTAATTAATATGTTATAGGTTCCTCTAATGATTATGGATGATGATGATGCTGAAATTACACCTACTTTTAAACGCAAAAGTGATAACATCTGATTTTGACAACTTTTATGGATCAATTTCAGTATCTTATGCAGGTGTTTTTACTCAGTTTTAAAAGTTTTATAAGTGTTTTCCATGTTTTGGAGTTTTAAAAGGCTTTTCAGGAAACTTTGGACTTTGGAGTGCATTTTAGAGCAAAAGTATATTTTTGGATAAATTCAGACCGACAGACGTTTGGCAACCAATGAAAACCTTTTCACTGTCTGATCATCCTCAAATTTGGAGACATTATAGAGGAGACAACCAGATTTCCAACACACTTGGAATGAAAGCAATCCAATGGTTAGATCTCCAGATATCATCAATGCACTGAAGGTCGATCAACACAAACCCAGTCAAGCACAAGTGTTTTGAGTTATAACTTAACAGAATTTCAACAAACATAGCTTACAATTGTAATTTCTTTTAGGTTTATGTTCATGATTACATTGTGTTTTATTTTAAATGAAACGAGAGTTTCTGCCGTTTTTCACAAAAAGTTTGTAATTGTAAATGTAAATGGAAGAATAAACCATTTGTGTTTATGATTTGCAAAAAAAGAAAAAACAAAAGTGATAGATCAAAATGAAAATTTCCAATTTGTTTTTTGGGATCTTTTAGTACCTAAACACGAACATTTTTTGTGTGTGCAAAGCTAACTTATTCATTCATTTAAACTACGCGATTACAGCGGTAAGAAAGAGTTATCGAAATACCCAAACATGAACATATATGCCAAATTTGAACAACAATCGACGCCATAATCTGATTAACCATAAAATTTGTAAATTGCCCCGGAGCTTGATCATATACTGTACAAGATTTAAACATATCTCACTAATAGCTCTCATGTATGGTATTTAAGACTAACTTTCTATTTT